GGAGGCCTTACAGTCTCCACACGTGTAACGATAGACAAGCCAAGAACAATAAGGAATGGGGAGGAGATCTTTAATAGGGAAGAAATTTAAATTATACATTTTTTAATATGTTCGTATTACTGATTTTACTTTTTTTTCACCGTTGTGTTTTCTTACTGTAGTTTCTCCCCATGATTACTGTTTAGTGTTCTATTTGTTTAATTATCGTTATATTTAGCAACTGTACTTTGAAAATTTATAAAGTCTGATGTAAATTCATTTTATTCTGCTTTAGATACTGAAGATGGAATCTGATAGAATTCCGAAACGTTTACCCATGTCCCCTTTTTGTCAATAAACAATGTTGTATATCATAAGTGTCGTAATCTTGGGGTCTACAAATACAAGTGGTAAATTACATAAACATAAATTGTCATTATAATAGGAAAGACGAAGGATATATCAGCCCCCAGTGGCACAGCGGTATGTCTGCGGACTTACAACGCTAGAATCCGGGTTTCGATACCCGTGGTGGGCAGAGCACAGATAGCCCATTGTGTAGCTTTGTGCTTAATTACAAACAAACAAATCTTATGTATTAGTTGTGTGTAATGGATTTACTTTATTCAAGGGGTTTGCACTGCAATGTATAATTTTATTCAAGTTAATCGATTACTTAGCACCGCTAAAGCCTGCTCTGTAGGCCAAATCCTAACGTACACTTTTCGTTAACATGTTAATCGTAATCACTACATTACCTGGGACAAAATTTTATTAAGTTACTTTAAAAGTAGGCCTTTTACCTCTTTTTTTATGTCAAGAGTTAAACCGTAGCCCTTCAAGTGTTTTTCAGAACACTATGTTCAACCTTTTTGTTATCTGATAAAACCACAATTATTATCTTACATTGTTGCATACATAACACCAGCCACTCAAATTACTTCATTTTATCACCTAAAATGTTTTTTTTTGTATGGGTAAGTAGAAAAACACTAGTTTTGTGCATGAAAATCATAAAAAAGTAATACATACATTCCTGTGTGGATTTGTGAAGCTCTACAAATCTAGAATACAATGTCTAGAAGCTTCTATCCAACTTTTGTCTCGTCACTCAGTTCAAGAACACCAATTAATTTTTATCTTTACCTCCAACACATGTGAGAAGAGATTATGGGTGCATTGTAAGGTGACGGTCAAATTCTACTATTCGTTTCAGGTAAAAGTAAACCGAGAGAGTCGGTGGTGGGTGCTATTGCTTATTCGCCATCCTAGTACAATTAGCCCTCATGTAGCTTTGCGCAAACATTCCGGAGCAAACAAACGTGGTGTAAGTTAGTATTATGATAGAGCTCTGGGTGCGCTATAAGCGTAGACAGTGGGTGACAGGATTGTAATATCTTCCTTGTGAGTAGTACTTGAATATCAAGGACCGTGGAAGAATGCTATAGTAACTTTGCTATAAATATAAACAAACAACATATGTATATATATATATTAATAAAACTATTTGGACAGAATAAATCTTAAAATTTGTGTCATATTTGACCAGTGGTACATCTTTCTGAGTGAATCCATGTTTTACAGTAACCACAACCTGCAATATGTTAATGGAATTGGCCAACAAACCATTGGCAATACATATGATGGAATGAGCTGCCACTCCTTTTGCACAACAACTCCATCTGTAGTGAAATTTCAATGATACTCCAGAACGTGTCTTTTGTTACAAAATGATGATTAAAATATTTACTGTTATAGAGGTGCCACCTTTAAATGAGTATCTGAGACAGTGTCAGGTATTCAGTTCATCTCTGATATGATAATCTAATCGTCAAGTATGTTAATATTTGGTCTAATACAAAATATGTTTTGTTCTGTATAATCTCGTAATTATAGCTATTTTTTATAACGATCCGACCCATTATAACAAGATAGAAATTGTATTTTAGTTTATTTTACTTTGTGTAAGACTGATCGAAATATCTTGTGAAATGGGAAAACGTATAGAAGAATCACAACACAGCAAACTCAGTACCTCTCTTAAATGGAAAATAAGTTTCAACAGTCATTCAGTGATGAATAAGCGTTGCAAGGGGTTTTTAATTATTTACATTGTAACTAGAAATGTCTATACATTTAAATACTTGTTAGCGAGTACATTAATACGTTTTTTAAAAAAGAAATGAAACTTTTATTGTTGAAAATCAAACATGTTTCAGTTAAAACTTAACAAACTGTTTTCCTTTTTTTGACAGGCAAAGATTGGTAACGGATCAGCAATCATTATACGCCTTAGTGGAAAAGTACCTGCCTCTTGAATATCGAGAAAAAATTGTTCCTATGGCAACAGTGAAAAATAACGTCAAACCTTAATTTCTTCGCCTTACTTGATATTCAAAAGCCTTTAGTATTGATCATTTTGATAGATGCCCATATTTTATTTGTATTTTTTTTTTTATAAAAAAAAGAAACCATAACCTAGAATATGATTTGTGAGTTAACATAGAAATAGTAGTTTGAGATGAAACAATTTTTGGTACATTTATATTGTAAAATATCACATCACGTAAAGTTTTCAGGCGTGAGGATTCAGGTAATAAAAAACAATATATTCTATTGACTAAAGACTAACACAGTTTTTATTGCTTTTCAGAACATAACCATATTAAACCGTAGAGAAGTCTTTACAATTGTATTGTTTAATAACATAAAGGTAATAAAAGTTATTTTGGATACTCATTATGATCTATATCTACCTGCTGATATTACTTTCTAGCAAGTGTTCCCTCTCTTCACCACACCACGGTACCTAAGTGTTAAGCAAGTGCTCCCTCCCCTTCACCACACCACGGTACCTCAGTGTTAAGCAAGTGCTCCCTCCCCTTCAACACACCACAGTACCTGAGTTTTAAGATGTTGGGCTTATAAGTATTTTTGTCCTATTTCTTTAATTCTATAGCATGTTTACCTAAATATGCTGAAGCTTTAGGAAGTCTCCAGGTGGGACAGCTGTAATTATATGGACTTACTACGCTAAAATCATGGGTTCAATTCCCCTCGGTGGACACATCAGATAGCCTGACGTGACTCTGCTATTAAAAACACACGCTTTAGTGAGTATAACGCTAAAATTCAAGGTTCCATCCCTACGTTTGTCACCAAGCAGTTAGCCCATTGTGTAGCTTTGCGCTTTAAACAGTGATTGCTGTTACGTAGAAGCTCATACCAGTTTGCTGATTATAAAACGACAGAAGAGGAAAAGTATACTCATAAGCATAAATAGAATTGTAATAAATATAATTACCTTCGATAGTAATTCTTCGGCCGTACTGTTGCTGATTATATGAGATTTGGCTTTAAAAAATAATATTGGATTTAGAATAATGGCTATGTAAAGGATCGTTAGATCCAAACTCATAACTGTTAAATATGACACTTTTGAATAAATAAAACTCGCCTGAAAATAATAGTTTGACCCTTGTGTAGTAAGGTTACAGTAGTCGAGAAAAGCTAGTGATGGCCGAGATTGATTGGCTAACAAAGAGCGTGAGAACACTGGCTGGATATTGTGTACCCAACATTTCTCCGTACGTTCGTTGGTTTAAAATTTCAATCGGCGTGACTGTATGTTCTAACTATTGCATTCCCTATTCTACCTAGTCCTCTTTCCATTCTATTTCAATCGCCGGATCTCTTATTTCACCTTGTGTTTTTGTTATATCCCTGTTCTTCATATCTGTCTTGTCTCTTTCCTTTCACTATCTGCCCTTATAGTAAAAAAGAGAAAGAGAGAGACGTAGGATCAAACATATGTGGTAATTCACATTAAAAAGAAAACGATAAAATGTGGGGTTACTCACGTTTAAAAGAAACACACGATAAAACGCAAGCATTTTCTAAAGGTGGTCCAGTCCTCCTTATAAATAAAGGCGGAATGAACTGCTTATATTATCCGTGATAAGGGCAGGTCCAAGTATCGAAAGGGCTAGGGTTTTATGTGAATTCAGATTCAGCATTAATAATATATATACTAGCTATTTTCACCACGTACACTTTCAGCAACATAGGCAAAGTTACGTATACAGAAATAATGCTTTTGTCGTTAACCCTTCACTTCAAACGTTACTGACATTTACGTATATCACAAATACCTCTATCCCCCACACGTTTAGCCGATATGTGGTTGATGGTGCCTCAAGTCCCTGCAGTCACTAGTACGTGTCTGCTCTTATTACATGGATCAGCCGACTCTAATCTTTCGTTTGGTGAGTACCAGTCGCTTATCAACGTCAACAATATCTGATGGTAAGGCGTCATTGTGTATCTTAATGTGGACCGGCTTCCGCTTTCATTCCTGCAACGAAAATGCGTTAGTCGTAAAGAAGAATCCTTCAAGTGAACACTTTGCATGTTCCCCTGGCAGCCATGGAAGCGCTACAGAAAATGTCAAATATTATAAATATAGTATAATATTTGGAATTAATTTCAGCACTTAAAACCATTCTGTAACTGTAAGAAAAAACAATTCTACTTATTTGACTTATATTACAAATCAAGTCAAAATTCAGTATTCTATGTATATCACATTTTCGTATTAACGGTAGCTGTAATCCATTAGTAAATAGTAGTTTGTCCGGCAACATACTTTGTTTTCAGATAATACAATCAAATTATTGAAGTTCTTAGCGAAGCTTTAAGCCGTAATATCGGTTAACTGATTGAAGTGAAATTTGTATCGCGTATCAATACCTTCCTTTTATATTGCTATGAAGTAACACTATGAATAATTGCGCAAAGTAACTGTGATTTTGTATTACAACCTTTGACATTTTAATACGACATCATTCTAAACTTGTTCAGTTTCTCTATCTTAAAATAATTTAATTCTCTTAAGATTTTTGAAATAATTTCAAAATTCATTAACCTAACGTCAGTGCAGTAAGATAAAATATTTGAATACAGTGTCACAGTGTTTAATATGAAAATGCAATTAGAAGTAATGCATTTATTCAACCCTCTATTACACGTTGTAACGTACAGGTAACAAATCTAACTTTGCTGATTAATACTCATACAAATACTTCAGTTCTGTTGTTGAATTCTCTTATTTGTAGGTAACAGTGTAATTAAACCGTGGAATTACTTTTGTTAGTTCTTCAATCGAACAATGTTACTTCTAGATAAAGTACCCGTTTATAACTTACCAAAACACATTTCATAAAGACATTTTTGTGCGATATAGACATATTTATGAAAGAAATTCAAATAAATCATTTTTTCCATCATATTTTCGTAGTACGTGTAATAGAGGGTTAAAGATAAAAATATACATTCAGAACTTAAAATCAAATTGGTTAATTAGCTTGTGGATTAATAACTATGTTGTTTATAGGGTCTATTAAATATATATCAGATACTTAAAGAAATTAAACAAAAATACCTTTAATACTGCAATTAATCCTGTTAATTACTGATGCAGTATCCTATGTATATTCCCAAGAAAATTTAATGATTTTACACAATTTTTTTTTATGCACTGAGTACTGCAACAAGCAAAAATATACAGTCACTCGATACGATGCAATATAAGAAACCAACCAGCAATGAAAGTTATGAAGCGAAATCAATAATTTGAGAGTTAACATGATCAGAAGATATACAAGTCTTTCAGAAGTTATTCTCTGTATGACATGGAATGTGTTAGAACTTAACACATACGCATGAAAGATACACGCCAGCTAATTGGAAAAAAAAAGGTTCTTTCCAGATTAAATACGTATTATTTTGTTACAAATACAAATTTACAAACGATACAATTTTATTACGTTATCATCTTTACTTCGAAACTTTTTAAACCTAAACACGATCCTAACTAATTCGAGCAATTTTTATCGGCAATTTAGAAAGATTACATTATAGAATGAATTAAAAACCACTTTGATAATATTAGTTAATGGCAATGGAAGATAAAATGCTAAAGTTCATGAACAGAGGGGCCAGGTGGTTAGGTCGCGAGTTCGAATTCCCGTCCCACCAAACATGCTCGCCCTTTCAGCCGTTGGGGCGTTATAATGTGACGGTCAATCCAACTATTCGTTAGTAAAAGAGTTGGCGGTGGGTGGTGATGACTAGCTGTCTTCCCTCTAGTCTTACACTGCTAAATTAGGGACGACTAGCGCAGACAGCTCTCGTGTAGCTTTGCTCGAAATTCAAAAACAAACATGAACAGAGGAGATAAAAGCATTAGTCTGATAAAAACAAACGTAGATGCTGAATAATTTAGATATAACAGTGAATAATAAAAGGGACTAAACAGATTATATTGTAGGTCTTTGCCCATAGAAGTAAAACACTTTTTTTAATATAAGAAAATTATACCTGTACCTTTATCTGGCCGGATAACAACGACGTTTCGGTTACTGACAAGTTATTTTAAGGCAGAAACCTCAACCTGTGTTATAGAAGAGTTTTTTAAGGGGTTGAAGTTATAGAAGGAGTACAATGAATGTCTGTACAGTACTCTAAAATCCCTTCCTAGTTTTGACAAAAATAATACACCTAATATATAATGCATTATCAAAACTAAATTTAAAAATGCGGTATTGTCCTCTTCTATAACTTCAACCCCTTAAAAATCCCTTCTTCTATGACACAGGTTGAGTTTTCTGCCTTTAAAGAACTTGCCAGTAAGAAAATTACATTTACTAAAGAACTTTACGTAAAACATGCTTGTATAAATCGAAATATTTTACTTAGTTTCAATGACACTTCTTTATATTGTGTTTATGTTGGTAATTACCCATTGTGATTAAATATATTTATAACTGTATATTATAGTTTCAAAATCACGTACTTGAAAGTAACCGCTTTTAACACAGCCATTACTTCATAAATCAACAGTTCTACGTTATCAATCCAAAGTGAACGTATAGAGGCTGAAGGATCTTGAGGAAATCTGTAGATCTACGATATTAATCCGAAGTGAACATGGCTGAGGAGACATGTTGGAATCAATAGATCGTTATCGATCCAAAGCTAATGTAGATAGGCTGGAGAAACTGATGAAGTCAGTAGTTATCAATTCAAAGTGAACGTATAGAAGCTGGGAGCACATGATGAAATCAGTAGATCTACCTTATCAATCCAAAGTGAATGCAGAGAAGCTGGGGACACATGATGAAACCTTATCAATCCAAAGTAAATGCAGAGAAGCTGGGGGCACATGATGAAATCAGTAGATCTACCTTATCAATCCAAAGTAAATGCAAAACAAAACAATAACAAAACTACTTTAAATGTTATTGTAGCACAAACAGAAAACAAAACAATAACAAAACTACGTTAAATGTTATTGTAGCACAGACAAACAGAAAACAAAACAATAACAAAACTACGTTAAACGTTATTGTAGCACAAATATTTTTACGCCACCCGTCAGTTCGCTTTGTAATAAGACGTAAGGCTCTACGAAATTTCCCAAGTTTTTTTAAACACAAAAAACGCCTTTTCACCAAGTCTGCATTCACTTTGGATTGATAAGGTAGATCTACTGATTTCATCATGTGCCCCCAGCTTCTCTGGATTATTCTCAGTCCGAGTTTATAAAAGAAAAGTATTTGTTAAAAATAATATTCACAAAAATAACACTTATAAGTATATCTCTTAATCTGGTAAAATATGTTAAAAATAACACTTATAAGTATATCTCTTAATCTGGTAAAATATGTTAAAAAGCTAAGAGTAATTCTTAAAATAATGGAAAACAAAACAATAACAAAACTACGTTAAATGTTATTGTAGCACAAACAAACAGAAAACAAAACAATAACAAAACTACGTTAAATGTTATTGTAGCACAAACAAACAAACAGGGTGATGAATTCGAATGACGAATTTCATTCAACCCATACAACCACAGGTTTTATGAAAAATGATTTATAATTTTATTGGTTGATAAGTATTTGTTGTTGAGCACATAATGGGCTATCTGCGATGTGCCCAGTGCAGGGATCGAACTAATAATTTTTGCATTGTAAGTTCTAAAACTTACGGCTGAACCATCGCGGCCTTATTTCAGTGTGGATATCGCTTTCTTGAGCAATATTAGTTATTCTTATAAAGGTATGTTCTGGAAATTCATGATTAAAATTGTAAAAGTTTAAAGTAGACAAAAATTATAAGTAACTGATAACATTATAATATTTCGTATTTTTTCAAAATGACATAAAAAAATCATAAACTCAGATTCTTGTTAC